AGGGAGGAAAGAAAGAAAGAAGGAAAGGAAGGAAAGGGAAGGAAGGAAGGAAGGAAGGAAGGAAGGAAGGAAGGAAGGAAGGAAGGAAGGAAGATGACTTCTGGGATTGCAGGTTTGGTTGTAACTTTGGCACTTTGGCAACTGTTTTGTGTGCACAAGTAACTAGGGCAGGGATAGGCAACCTTGGCCCCTTCATGACTCGTGGACTTCAACTCCCAGAATTCCTGAGCCAGCATGGAAACCTCTCCCTTTCCCCTCAGCATGGCTGGCTCAGGAATTCTGGGAGTTGAAGTCCACGAGTCATAAAAGAGCCAAGGTGGCCTACTCCTAGACTAGGGGAAGAAGCATTTCATGTTGCAAAATCCAAAACTGGCACCGAGGCCCAGTCCTTGATGACTGACACTGGTCCCTTCTAGGGATTTGTGGGAACCAATGACGTTGGTTCCCTTCAGTCGGTTCCTTTTAGTTTTTCCACCGGTGCTTCTCCACCTGATAAGACGTGTGGACTTCAACTCCCAGAATTCCCCAGAATTCACCTTCCGGACTAGCAAAGTTAATGCGGAAACCCGATCCCCTTCACAACCGTGTCACTAACTGAACAACTGCAGTGACTCGTTTAACGACCAACCGTGGCAAGACAAATCACGAAACGGGGCAAGTTCACCGAAGGACTGTCTTGTTTAGCGACAGAAATGTTGGCCGTAAGTTGAAAGCGACCTGTACTGAACCAGAATTTCGTCATTTTCAGATTTATGATCTGCTGCCTGTAAAAAACCTCAGGGGCTACTACTACAAAAATGAGAACTTGGAAGACCCGGACACAAACCCTTGCACGCCTCCCCAAAAGATCGTTGTGGATGGAATTCGCTACATCACCGACACCTATTCTTACGGTGAAGGAGACGCCTATACAATCCTCAAGGTAAGCCACCACCACCACCACCCCAAGTCCCCAAACTCTTGGCAGAAATTGGAATTTCACTCTAAGACTGGTTAGAAAAGGAAAGGAAGTCATTTTAGACAGAACCATCCCATCCCAAGAGCAAGGATTTTTTTATTTTTTTTTTAAATGTACTTAATAAACAAAGATAAAAATGAGTGAAAATAGAGGATTTTTTTTTATTTTTATTTTAGAAAAATACACCGGTTAAATATTCTGAGGTGATTCCATCCCTGGTCTTGCCATTTGGCATGGACGTAGATATAGAATAATAGAGTTGGAAAGGACCTTGGAGGTCTTCTAGTCTAACCCCCTGTTCAAGCAGGAGAGACCCTATAACTAGGGATAGGCAACCTTGGTTCTTTTATGACTCGTGGACTTCAACTCCCAGAATTCCTGAGCCAGCATGGCTCAGCTTGGACACCTCTCCCTTTCCCCTCAGCATGGCTGGCTCAGGAATTCTGGGAGTTGAAGTCCCCGAGTCATAAAAGAGCCAAGGATGCCTACCCCTAGTTTAGGTGGGCTGAATCCCAGCCTTGGTACCATAATTTTCATAACACATTGTAGTTAGAAGGTTGAGTGTTCAATCCTAGATAGTAGGCAGATGTTTCTCTCCTAGGGTGCAAAGAGAAAAAAAAATATCTGCTGCAAAAAAAATATCTCTGTGGTGTCAGGAAGGGCCCGTAAATGCTCAACTCCATCCACTCACCCCGACTCTACCCTGAATTAAGGGATTAGAAGGTCATAAAAAGGGTGTTTTGTTGTGTTTTTGACACAACCCCACCCCCCACCCCCAAATGGAAAGGGTGCATTGTCACATCCATCTTTATTTTTTAACTAGTTTAACACAGCACTCTGGGTGGATAATAGATGGATAATAGATGGACAGATGGATGGATCGAAGGGGCGGGGAGGGGGAGGAGGGAGAGAGAGAGAGTGTGTGTGTGTGGGGGGGGTTCTTTTCCGTCCTTTCTGTAATATTCCATAATGAATTTCTGCTCATTTTACAGGACTTTGGTTTGAAAACGTTTACTAGCGCCCAGATACACAAGCCTAATATTTGCATCACCAGATCAGATGTGCACTGTAAGAATCTTAAGTGGACTGATAGGGTGGGAGGGAGCTCCTCTGTCTGTCTGTCTGTCTGTCTGTCTGTCTGTCTGTCTGTCTGTCTGTCTGTCTATCTATCTATCTATCTATCTATCTATCTATCTATCTATCTATCTATCTATCTATCTATCATCTATCTATCTATTATCTATCTATCTATCTATCTATCTATCTATCTATCTATCTATCATCTATCTATCTATCTATCTATCTATCTATCTATCTATTATCTATCTATCTATCTATCTATCTATCTATCTATCTATCTATCTATCTATCTATCTATCTATCTATCTATCTATCTATCTATCTATCTATCTATCTATTTCATTTGAAGGTCAAAAAAAGTCAAGAGGGTGGCTAGAGCTGTCCCATCAAAGCCCTGTCTCTTCTTTATGTCCATAAGACAGACATGTCAAACACAAGGCCCGGGGGCCAGATGCGGCCCGCAAAGTGGTTTCATGTCGCCTGCGAAGCCATCCTGGAAACAGTGAGGGAACGGCCCCCGCTGCCTTGACTGTGGCCATGGCTGGCCGGGAGCCAATGTACAATTTTGTGGTGGCCATCTAGGCTGAAACGCATTCAGTCTTAGCTCCATAAGGCCGTCTGGAAACAGCGAGGAACCAGCCCCTGCCGCCTTGGCCCGGCCCCCTGGGTGCATGCTGGGGACTCCTGAGGGTAGCCTGGACAGCTAAAAAAAATCCAAACTGATGAATCATTGAACAGATCAACTCCAAGTAGTCCCTCGGGCACAAAGGACCAGGCTCAAGCTATCATATTTCAGACACCTTATGTAAAAAAAACCCCTAGCTTTCTCAAGAACACTCTAATGCCCGGAAAAGTGGTGGAAGGAACAAGAAGTAGACAACAAGCAGCAAGGGGGATGGCGTCCATTACGGTGGCTCAGGGGCTTAATAATAGTGGAGATGGGCTATGCCTGTGGTGGCGAACCTATGGCACGCGTGCCAGAGGTGGCACGCAGAGCCCTCTCTGTGGGCAGGCGCGCCGTCGCCCCAGTCCTAGGCCTTCAGCTGGGTTTTATAAAACCTTTTCGCTTTAGGCCTCCGCCGCCGTGTGCAAAAAAAAAAAAAAAAGGTCCAATCAATCAATCAATTTCAACTTCTCGCGGGGAAAAAAAAGATCTCGCAAAGCTGGAATTGCTTGATTGAACTTTTTAGTCCCACCCAGTCTGCCGTTGCCATCGCGGCCACGCCCACCCAATGGGCCACACCCACCCAATGGGCCATGCCCACCCAGCGCCGAACAATACATAAGTGGGTTTTGGGTTGCAGTTTGAGCACTTGGTCTCTAAAAGGTTCGCCATCACTGGTCTATGCTCCAGTGGTTTGAGTCCCAGCGCTACGTGGTGGTGTGAGCTTCCATCGCTCACCTCAGCTTCTGTCCACCCAACAGTTCTAAAGCACGTTCTATGAGAGTAGATCAGGAGATACCCACTTTGGTGGGGAGATGAGTTGATGCTCCCTGTAGATAGTCAGATTCCTGCTGGCTCTGAAACTACCCGTTCGTGGCACCCATTTGCAAGGCGGCTCTGGGGAAAGGAAGGGAAGGGAAGGGAAGGGGTCTCGGGTGGTGCGACAGGAAAGCCGCCCATCTTCTTTTTTGGGGGGTGCAAAGCCAGCCCACCCTCCTGTGGCGCACCTTGGGAAGCGCATGAGTGTGTCCTACAACAGAGCTGGCAAATTGGCAAGCCAAACTACCACTCTGCAATAACATTGTAGTCTCCTGGCTAATGTAAAAATGCCATAGGACAGTGGTGGCGAACCTGTGGCACGGGTGCCAGAGGCGGCACTCAGAGCCCTCTCTGTGGGCACGCGTGCTGTCGCCCCAGTCCTAGGCCTTCAGCCGGGTTTTATAAAACCTTTTCGCTTTAGGCCTCCGCCGCCGTGTGCAAAAAAAAAAAAGAAGGTTCAATCAGTCAATTTCAACGTCTCACGGGAAAAAAAAGATCTTGCAAAGTTGGAATTGATTGATTGAACTTTTTAGTCCCACCCAGTCTGCCGTTACCACCGCAGCCACGCCCAGCCAATGGGCCACGCCCAGCCAATGGGCCACACCCACCCGGCACTCGACAATGCGTAAGTGGGTTTTGGGTTGTAGTTTGGGCACTTGGTCTCTAAAAGGCTCGCCATCACTGCCATAGGATAAGGATGAAGATGAGGAGAAGGAGGAGGAGAGGGAGGAGGAGGAGGAGGAGGATAAGATAAGAGCATAAGAGGAAAAGAATAAGAATCAGCAACAAATTGTTGACGTACAATCATCAATCAAAGAGGCAGGACTTTGCTTAGTTGCAGCCACCCTCTTGACTTTTTGAACCCGCAGTGGACACTCTGGTTGCAAGGAATATTTCAGTAGACCTGGAAAACTCAACCAGTTGGAGAAAGTGTCTTTAGAATGTCATCTCCTGCATTTCCTTCTCTTTGTTCAACCAGTGCTTGTGGTTCTCAGAAGTGGTAATTATTATCTTTTAAATGCTTGTAAGGGTGATGGGTATCGCCTCGGAGAATTAATCTTGAAGAACAGCTCGGAGGTGCTAAAATATCAAAGGTGTGCAAGAAATGCAAGCTTTTTCTCTTTGCAGACAGGGTCTATGACGCTGTAGGAGGTGGAGCTATGGCTGCACCATTAGCCGCAGAAATGAAATTGGGCGCAGAAGCAATGGAAACAACCGTCCGGAGCTTTTTCCCAGAAACCTGGTTATGGTCCATCACACCTCTGAGGTAATCCAAGGGTTCCATGTTTGGTGACAGAGGTAACTCTTTAGGGAGAAATATTACGACCTATTAGCTGCTAATAGATCCTGTATACATGTGTAGATCTACTCATAACTAAGAGCAGCATGGTGGCCTAGTGGTGAAGACGCTTGCCTCCCACTCTGAAGGTTCAGAGTTCAATCCTAGGTAGCGGCAGATGTTTCTCTATCAGGGCGCAAATAGAAAATATCTGTTGCGAACTCCACATAGGCATCAGGAAGGGAAGCTGGCCAGTAAACGCTCAGCTCCCAATCAGTCGCCCTGACTCTACCCAGAATTAAGGGATTATAGCAGGGGTCTTCAAACGCGGCCCATTTATGACTTGTGGACTTCAACTCCCAGAATTCCTGAGCCAGCCATGCTGAGGGGAAAGGGAAAGGTTTCCATGCTGAGCCATGCTGGCTCAGGAATTCTGGGAGTTGAAGTCCACGAGTCATAAAAGGGCCACGTTTGAAGACCCCTGGATTATAGGGTTGTAAAAAGGAAAAAAAAAACATGGATAAGGCCATCCACAGATAAAAAGATCCTCAATTTTTTAATCAAAATACTGTGCAAAATGTGCCACCCACAGGTAAGTCAACCCCCATTTTTCATGGTGCACTTTATTTGGTAAACTTTGAGGGTCAGCTTGTCCATGGATCACACTCAATGTGTAGTCCTTAAATGGAGCTACATTTACATGGAGCAGGGGTAGGCAACCTTGGCTCTTTTATGACTCGTGGACTTCAACTCCCAGAATTCCTGAGCCAGCATGGCTCAGCTTGGAAACCTCTCCCTTTCCCCTCAGCATGGCTGGCTCAGGAATTCTGGTAGTTGAAGTCCACGAGTCATAAAAGAGCCAAGGTTGCCTACCCCTGTCCTAGGGCCTTCCGCTTCTTTCGGACTACTTCAAACTGATGATGTTGCCTAATTCGGTAATGAGACGTCTGCAAGCAAACAAACAACTCAGAAAGCAGCAAGGACTCCACAGATCAACGTTTCTCAACTTTAGCAAGGCTGGCTGGGGAATTCTGGGAGTTGAAGTCCACACATCTTAAAGTTGCCAAAGTTGAGAAACATTGGTCTAAAGCTGGGCTAGGCAATCTTGGCTCTTTTGTGACTGGTGGACTTCAACTCCCAGAATTCCTGAGCCAGCATGGCTCAGCTTGGAAACCTCTCCCTTTCCCCTCAGCATGGCTGGCTGAGAGGAATTCTGGGAGTTGAAGTCCACGAGTCATAAAAGAGCCAAGGTTGCCTACTCCTGCACTAGAAGACCTCCAAGGTCCCTTCCAACTCTGATATTCTGTTATAGATATGGATATTTTATTTTATTTTATTTTATTATTTTATTATTTATATTTCACATTTCTGAACCCCCCATCTCAACTTAACGATCAGAATTGAGCCCAACATTTCTGTTGCTAAGCAAGACAGTTGTTAAGTGAGTTTTGCCCCATTTAACAACCTTTCTTGCCGCCGTTGTTAAGTGAATCACCACGGTTGTTCCATTAGTAACACGGCCGTTCAGTGAATCTGGGCTTCCCCCTTGACTCTGCCGGCCAGAAGCTCGCAAAAGCGGATCACATGACCCAGGGACACTGCAACCGTCATAAATATGAGTCAGTGACCGGGGGGGTGTCTGAATTTTGATCACGTGACCTCGGGGATGCTGCCGCGGCCGTCAGCGTGAAAAATGGTCGCAGGCCGCTTTTCGTAACTCCGAACAGTCACTAACCGAACTGTGATAAGTCGAGGACTTATGCGTTATTGTGTTCTCACCTTGTCAGGCCATGAAAATATTGCTTTCTGAAACTCATCTTCACCTCTGCTCCTCTTGCCTCCCTCCGCAGTGGGACCGAGGCCACTCTGCCCGTCACTATCCCAGACACCATCACCGAATGGAGAGCGGGAGCCTTCTGCCTGTCCCCGGCGGTGGGTTTCGGCCTGGCCAATACCACCTTCCTGAAGGTCATCCAGCCATTCTTCGTTGAAGTCACTCTGCCGTACAGCGTCGTCAGAGGGGAAGCCTTTGACCTGAAGGCCACCGTCTTCAACTTTCAGAAACGCCCCGTCCAGGTGAGGAACTCTTCCATTTCTGCCACCTCCGTTCTCTTTCTCTCTCTCTTTGCCTCGATCTCTCTGGAGGCAGGCCCGCGTATAAAGGTAGGCCTCAACCTACAACAGTTCAAAGTTACAGTGATCTGTGACTGCTTTTTTTTCACATTTATGGAGCGCGGCAGCATCCTCGTGGTCATGTGATCAAAATTTGGACACTTGGCAACTGGCATGTATTTATAACGGTTGCGGTGTCCCGGCAACCCGGTGTCCCCATGGTTACTAATTTGATAACTGCAGTGTCCCTCTCATCTTTGTGGCAGCCCCTCAAATATTGGAACCCTGCTATCAGGTCACCCCTCGACCTTCTCTTCATTAAACTAGACACACCCAGTTCCTGCAGCTGTGCTTCATACATTTCGGCCTCCAGGCCCCTGATCATCTTAGTTGCTCTTTTCTGTATGCTTTCCAAAGCATCTTTTTTTATAATATTGTGACCAAAACTGGATGCAGTATTTCAGGTGTGGTCTTACTAAGGCTTTCTAAAGCAGTGCTAGTCTATACAAATGTTGCATATATAGTATGTTTAAATGTGTGTTATGTATGTGGACACTTTGAGAGCGGGCAACTAAATTTCATTTTTAATGTGTGCCATTGTGCCCACAGTAAAAAATGACAGTAAAGGTTATCTACCTACCTTCCTACCTACCTACCTACCTACCTA